CTATGACATACAACTATCTACTGGGGCTTTGGGGGGAAAATAAATAAATAAAATCTTTAAATGGTCTCTTCTAATACATAGGTGGTCATGCAAAGGTGGATACAGATAGGTGTGCATAAACATGCCAACCTGTGTTAATAAAATCTCTACTTATATTTTGGTTTCCGTTACATGAATGTGCCCCATGTTAAGAAATCTTTTTCTGTTATAAAATATAACATTATGGTGCTGCAACTGTAGTTATCAAAGGCTACAGAGTTTCCAGGAATAGCTGCTCTGTTAATGTGCTAAATGCTGTTTGCCTTGGTGTATGATGTAGTTAAACACTTGGGGTTTAGAGTCAAAACACTTGGGATTTAGAGTCAGATTCTTGTTCCATCATTTATTAGCTGTGTCACCTTGACCTCATCAGAGAAGAGAGTATCTACATATCCATTCATTCACTATTCAAACATTTATTGAGTGCTAGCTAGCTATATGTCAGCTATTGTGCTGTACCAGTGGCTTTCAATTAACCCTGAGTGCACATTAGAATCATCTGGAAAATTTTAAAGCTACTGGTTCTCTAAAAGAGCATGAAAGATTAGAGGAAATAAGCTATTAATGTATATATATATATAATGATTCCCAAGCCTCAGCCTTAGAGATTCTGATTTTATCAGTCTGGTACCTGGTATTGTCATTTTAAAAAGCACCTCAGATGATTCTAATGTGCAGCCAAAATTAAGAACCAGAGTGGGGACACAGAAACCGATAAGATGCAATAATATCAGCCTCTATCCTCAAGAAACTATGAGTTTAGGCTCTACCACTTACTAGAAGTGCAACCTTAAGCAAGACAGAGAATATCTACTTTCCTATACTGACACGAGAGTTAAATGGGATAAATTATGTGAAAATGCTTAGCAGAGGGTCCAGCCTAGGGCAGGTGCTGAACAAATGTTAACTGAATTTGGCAAATTACTAATCTAGACTAGTAGGTCTCAATCTTCAGTATGCAATGGAATCATCTGGAGGGCCTGTTGAACCATAGCTTGCTGGGCCCCATCTCCAGACTTTCTGATTCAATATGTCTAGAGTGGGTCTGAAATTTATATATCTAACAGGTTCCCAGCTAATACTGATACTGCTGATCCCAGGATCACACTTTGAGAACCATTGACCTCGACTATAAACTCATGAAGAGAGGAACAATCTGCCTGTCTACTAAAGCATGCTCAATGCCTAATACAGCTTCCAGCATAGACTACAAGTGCAATTTTTTCAATGAATGAACCAGGCTATGCCTCAGAATAACTAATATTTACTGTCAACAATATGAGAGCAAGAACTTTGTTCACTACTGTGTTCCCAGAACTAGGAACATGGCTTGGCACACAGCAGTGCTCAAAAAATAATTATTAAATGAATAAATATTATTGAATGGATTAAATGAGGTCATGTATATATTTTTTAAATCCTACAAATATTAGGTACAATTATTGTTATTCATTAAATGGGATAATAATTAGTCCAGAAACTGTAGCTCTTCCAACAGGCTGCGGGAATTCTGGGAGCAGAGATCATCAGGCTCTGGCAGAGCTCTGCATCTAAACCAAGGCGCTGTATAAAGATGGTTAACTAATAACAGCTGACCTTCACTGAGCGCGTACTATGGTACCAGGCCATCTATGTGACTTTGTCGAACTCCATCCTCTCAACAAGCTACTAGAAGGGCATGTAGTATTCTCTCCATTTTACAGATGAAAGAAACTGAGGCCGAGATTTAGTTGCCCAAGCTAGCGAACTGCAGAGCCAGAACTCAAACACATGAAACTCGAAAGCAGAGTTAGTGCCCTTCACCGTCATACGTTCCGCAAATCTCATGACCGGCAAAGATCATGGGTGAGGACAAGCTCAAAGACGGAAATCAATGGGGTCAGCAGGAAGTGACTACAGGACTCTAGATCAGAGGTCACTAATGTCATAGGCGGACTGAGTGCGGGTCCCTAAATATAGTTTGACCTAGCATTCTCAATCGCATCTCAGCTGGTGGGACCATAAAGTGACCAGAATATCTGGGTGTGCGGCGGGAAGCAAAAATACCTAAGAACCTGCAAAGCCTCCCACCGAGCAGCCACGATGGGAGAGAGAAGCGGCGCACGCGCACCATCCGGGTTCCTGAGCGCGTGCTTACTGCAGACGTGGCAGGAGTGGCCCCGCCCTGGAGCGTGTGGGTGGGACTTCCGGGGGCGACGCGCCGCCCCCCCTCGGAACCGGAAGTGGAGCCTGGGATTCCTGACGTTAGAAACGAAGTCGAACCTGGATTTGGAGCCGGGTGAGGAGTGGTATCGGGAGGTTGGTGGGTAGGAAAACAGAGGAGAGGTCGAGTTTTCACTGGCCAGATCGGGGTTCGGTCTGAGAAGGAAGGGAGGAGCCCGGGGGCGGGGCCCGGGGAGAGACCTTCACCTCACGCATCTACAATCCAGGATTAGTCCTAGACCCTCTCTTCTCTCCTCTCGGCCCGGGTGCCGGCTCCCGCTTCCTGCCCTGAGCTGTTGAAGGGCGCAGGACTCTCGATCTCTATGTTTAATGGACTAGCCCTCTCTCTCATCGTGGCCTGAGAAGCTAACTTGGCTTCTCTGTCTTAATCCCAGGCGCTCCTAGCCTCCACAGCTCGACTACTTTCAGAGTTTTATAGGAAGCTTGCCCCGCCCCCTAGGTTGTCACTCTCGACTTTCAACCCAGAATGGAGTCCAGACTAGAGCCTGACTCCAGATTCTTGGGTGTGTTTGAGGGGGTTATTTCCTGGAGAAGCTCCCCCTCCCCCACACTGACTTTAGGAAGATAAAGGGGAGAGGGACATCTGTCAACCTTAGTGTTGTGACCTGTGCAGGGTTTAGAATTTGGAAGAACAGCTCCTGAGATGGCTTTGAGTTTAAAAAGTGCTAGTCCAGGGGCAGCTCAGCTTTTCTATAGTCAAGATGGCCCTTCTTAGCAAAGGGGAGAGGGCCATTGTCCCACTGCAGCAGCTGTGAGCTCTCTTGCTTCCTGGGTCCCTCCTGTCTATAGGATGGTTCGAATGGTAAGGCTGTTTAAAGTAGATGTAATCAGATAGTCCTGTTCTTGAAAGAGCCCTCAAAAGGCCCTCTAATTCTTTTTTCTGTTGCTGGGCAAGATTGTAATAATTGTCATAGTGGCCTAGATTCATGACAAGCATATAGGGAGAGCAGAAACAGGAGAGTTGGAGAAGTACACTTGGATTTGGAGTACTCACAATCCCTGTGCTTGAAGGACAATGTGAATGATCTTTTTCCATGAAATCTAGCTTTTCCACTGATCCTTGAACTGCTTCCCCTAGGTTATTGGGAC